TGCCGTTTGTCACTTGCTAATGATTGGCTAGGACAAAACAAACAACATAGACTATCCAGCTAGAAATGGGCTAACATGAAAACGTACGATGAATGAAGTCAAACGAAGTGTTAACGAAGTCTGAAACAAAGTCTGTTTGTCAGCTTAGCTTTTCACTGACTCATCAGCATACTCATGCACATGTGTGCTTTCCTGCTGGTAGAGCAAAAGAAAAAAAACTAATTTCTTCATATTCAGAATTAAATTTGAACCACTGAGTGAACCATCCCTCTGTCAGATAGTAAATGGCTACTCATCACATGCACCACATTGCTCTCATGTAATGTCAAGACAATAGCTAAATTTGGGTGTTAAATGTATTGTTTCTTACTCTCAATGTACTCCAAATTAAAGCTCTATATTTGTACTAGCCTATCTGATGAACAATGAAGCGCTTGACACATGTATAGACATACACATACTCAAAATGTTACCTGTACCAGTGTTAGTCTGTGCACATCAGATATTTAGTAGTCACAGGAAATAGAGTGTTGGTCTAACCCTTGCGCTATCTGCTTCCCCATCGCTACATGAATCAATAACTACAACTTCCGAACTAGCAAACTACACGCTGGAAATGGCAAGTTAGCCCAACCCTGTGGGGATTTTTTAAAATTTGTACAATATTTCACCAAAACAGGTTCCCCACAATACTATCTGCAAGGCCTCCATCGCTGCATCCTAGACTTAGTGCCAACCAAGATGATTGTGATTGGTTTAAAAGAAGCCAGAGTGTTTTTTTTTTATATAAATAAGAAACCAAGGTATATCACTCACTGGCCACTTTATTAGGTACACCTGTTCAATTGCTTGGTAACACAAATAGCTAATCAGCCAATCATATGGCAGCAACTCAATGCATTTAGGCATGTAGACGTGGTCAAGACAACTTGCTGAAGTTCAAAGCGAGCATCAGAATGAGGAAGAAAGGGGATTTAAGTGACTTTCAACGTGGCATGGTTGTGTACTGGAATTTTCACACACAGCCATCTCTAGGGTTTACAGAGAAAAAGTCTGATAAAGAGAAAATATACAGTGAGGGATGAAAGCGCTGTGAGATAACTGTTGTTGTGATTTGGCGCTATATAAATAAAATTGAATTGAATTGATTTGCGCGGCAGTTGTGTGGACGAAAATGTTGTTGATGTCAGAGGTCAGAGAAGAATGGGCAGACTTGTTGGAGATGACAGGAAGGCAACAGTAACTCAAATAACCACTCGTTACAACCAAGGTATACAGAACACCATCTCTGAACGCACAACACGTCCAACCTTGAAGCAGATGGGCTACAGCAGCAGAAGACCACACCGGGGGCCCCTCCTGTCAGCTAAGAACAGGAAACTGAGGCTACGTTACACACAGGCTCACCAACACTGGACAATAGAAGACTGGAAAAACGTTACCTGGTCTGATGAGTCTCGATTTCAGCTGCTGCATTCAGATGGTAGAGTCAGAATTTCGCACAGCACTCTGGCCACTCCCTCACACAGTGGGAAACATTTGACTGCAATGGCTGCCTGCTCCAAACCCACAAAAAACACTCTGCTAGTGTGATGAATTTATTTTGAGAAACTCAGAATTTTATCATTTAGAAAACAGAATATGGGCACTGCAAGCACAAATATTTCCATCCATATTATGTTTTCTATACTTCTCCATACTGTGTAGAAACCGTGTAATTACTGTCTGAATTAGAGATTTGGCAGAAACTTTTTTTAACACCTAAAAGAGAAATTACATATCACACTAGCCAAATACTCATCTAAACTCACTTTAAAATAGTGAGACAGTGTTGTTTTAGTTGTTGTTTCATAGAAGGATCAGTGTATACAAGGTACCACTTTTGCTGCTGAACCTTTCTAACAAATAGGAGGAATGTGGTGTTGCTAATGAAGGTGCTCTTCTCATTAGTGAAAGGAGAGTGTGGTTGATTTTCTCCAAAGAGCTTCTGGGGGTGGTACTTACTCAAGTGGCTTTTTATGTAAATGTCCAAGGTTAACAAGAGTGTATGTGTTCCGGAGTCAAACACCACGTACTGAACAGCCACTAATGCAGAGCTCAGACTGACACAAACCTTTTGAAATGGATTGTAGCTCATGAGTATGTGGATTATGCACCGAGCTTGTCTGCAGAGTCACAGACACAGTGTTTAGTGGAAATACACTTTGTTGATGAATTTTTTGAATGTAATGTTCAATGCTTTGAGCACTACATGCAGTCTTCCATTCACCTCCATTGTACTTATGTCGGAGACCAATTTATCACAACCTGAATAAATAAAGCCAGAACCATTTGCATGGCTGCCATCAGGGTTACTCTTTAAATCTTACACATTTCATGTTGAAGAATTGATTCTGAATCAGAGGTTGAATAAGGTACTTTGGATTTTTTAATGTTATTTAATGATCACCTCAATTCAGAAAAGAAATTGTCTCATTGCACTTTTCATATAGAGCAGGTCTAGACCGTACTCTAGAGTTCCCATCACGAGCAAGCACTTGGTGACAGAGGCAAGAAAAAACGCTTTTAACAGTCTGAGAAGCCTGGAACACAACGGTGACTGACTACCAGATGGGGTTGTAATTTTGTGTGTGATCTAACTCAATCACAATCAGTCAAATAAAATACCAACAACCAGAATTTCATAAACCAAACACGACACCTTGCATATGAAACAATGTATTCACATGCACAGAGCATATGCTAGTACAGTCCCCTCCAAAAGTATTGGAACGGTGAGGCAAATTCCTTTGTTTTTGTTGTTCACTGAAGACATTTGGGTTTAAGATCAAAAGATGAGACAAGAGTTCAGAATTTCAGCTTTTATTTCCTGGTATTCACATCTAGATTTGTTAAACAACTCAGGACATACCACCGTTTGTATTAGACCACAGCATTCTTAGGTGAGCAAAAGAACAACTAATCTTAAAGTAAATAACATTTAATATTTGGTGGCAGAACCCTTGCTTGCAATAACTGCCTCAAGCCTGCGACCCATCAACATCACCAAACTGTTGCATTCTTCATTTGTGATGCTATTCCAGGCTTTTACTGCAGCTTCTTTCACTTCTTGTTTGTTTCGGGGTGTTTCTCCTTTCAGTCTCCTCTTAAGGAGGTGAAATGCAGCTCTGTTGGGTTAAGGTCAGCTGATTGACTTGGCCAGTCTAAAACCTTCCACTTTTTCCCCTGATGAAGTCCTTTGTTTTGTTGGCAGTGTGCTTTGGCTCATTGTCCTGCTGCATGATAAACTTCCTCCCCATTAGCTTCAATGCATTTCTCTGTAAACTGGCAGACAAAATGTTTCTGTCCACTTCTGAATTCATTCTGCTGCGACCATCATCAATAAATATTAATGACCCTGTTCCAGAAGCAGCCATGACATTACCTCCATGCTTCACAGATGAGCTTGTATGCTTCGGATCATAAGCAGTTCCTTTCTTTCTCCATCACTTTGCTAGAGATTAATCTTGGTCTCATCAGTCCATCAAATTCTGCTCCAGAACTTTTGCGGCTCATCTCTGTACTTCTTTGCCAATTTCAGTCTGGCCTTCCGATTCTTCCTGCTGATGAGTGGTTTGCATCTTGTGGTGTGGCCTCTATATTTCTGCTCTCTGAGTCTTCTTCCAATAGTGGATTGTGATACCTTCACCCTGCACTGTGGAGGTCGTTGCTGATGTCACTTCCTGATGTTTTGGGGGTTTTCTTCACAGCTCTCACCATATTTCTGTCATCAACTACTGTTGTTTTCCTTGGCCGACCTGTTGGACGTCTGTTGCTCAGTACACCAGTAGTAACACCTGGGCAACAAGAAAGATCTGTCAGTCACATGTTCCAATTGTTTTGCTCATTTGAAAAATGGGTGGGTTCAAACAAACGGTGCTATGTCCTGAGTTGTTTAACACATCTAGATGTGAATACCAGGAAATGAGAGCTGAAATTCTGAACTCTTGTCTCATACTCATCTTTTGATCTTAAATCCAAATGTCTTCTTTGCCTTACCGTTCCAATACTTTTGGAGGGGACTGTATATCCCAACATAAAGGAATCCAAAGTTTTACTTGGGTTGATGATTTACATTGGATACACAGCTCTAAAGATTACAGATTACAACAGTCTTCACATATCCTAAATATACAACATAAAGCTATTACTGTGAGGTAAAGACAGCGCAAACTTAAAATGAAACGTATAAAAGATACAAATGTTACAAATTACTAACTCACCTCTGAAAGCCTTGCTCCAGTCCAGGTTGTGAAGCTGGTTTGGGAACATGAACAGCTGAACCTAAGCTGTGGTTACCAGCTTGTCAGGACCCGCCCTACTCTGCTTCTGATTGGCCAGTAGTCCTTACCAAGGGGGTAAGCCAGAGATTGGACTGCGAAGTCGACCAAAGCATGCATGGAGGGATCCATATGGTCCTTACTGTGCATGTGCAACTCCCCACAAAGATCTGATAGAAGTGAGATGCTTCACTTGGTAGCACACAAAGAGGAAAAGAAGAGCTGCAGCAGTTGCAGAATGACAAAAAATATGGTGTTTTAATAAAATGAAACAAAAAATCTAATCAAGATTACATAATTGAATTTAATTGAATTACATTTTTAAATGTATCTAATAATAGTGAATAATGACACGCTAATAACGCCACTGTAAGGGAAAGGCTGAGCTGGATTTTTAAGACAAAACAGCACGTGGCACAATATTAATTTTAACTGGATTAACTTATTTTTATAATTGTTGGAAGGCAAAATCGAAATCATGATTAAAATGCGATTAATTGCACAGCCCTATGTAAACCTATTCTGGTAACACCACCAAATTATGAGCATAATATAACCACTTTACATACCTGAGCGGGGCAGTTTGAGAAAATGAATCTCACTCATTTCCAGTGATCAGATATTGATGTCACTTAAGACTAATCCACAATAAATGCTCAAAGAACACAAACAACAACTTAAGACAGTTTACCAAGGTAAGAAATGTCTATTTCTTTATTACATTCAACAGTACAGTACACTGAAATTGCACATTTTCACCAGATATAGCAGCATTCTGACTGGCAAATGGACTAATCAATAGGCACATCCAAAACATTTAAATAGAAATACACACGTCCAAAGTGTCGTGGCCACTTTCAGACCACATTCAAATTCCATTTAAGCTGTTAATTTACATGCCTCGTAAAACAAATTCTATGCAGCTAAAACACAAGGTCCTTTCCCTTCAACTCCAGATTCCAGTGGCAAGAGAAGACATGTGGTCAAGTCAAATCAGTCTTCATAATAAAAGGAAAAAAGCACCCGTTTATCCTCTCACACAGTATGTGCTATTCAGTGCTTTGCAGGAGTTATAAACTGTTTTAATTTGCTTTTATAGTTTGCTTCAGTTGCCTTCTTCACTGACACTGTATCACCTCAGAGAAGAAGTGTGGGCTGTGTGTTGAGCAGGTGGAGAAAGAGCCATTGCCATAGCATAAGAGAAAGACAGTGAGGTTATGGTTCTATTTTTAGCAGTCAATCTCTTGTTGCTGCACTGCATTTTGGTCTACTGAGTAGAGCTGGGTATCAAATTTAAATACGTTCTGTACCAAAAGCAATGTGTCGATAGAACCAAGTGATAAGAACAGTCAAGTATCAAAAGATGGCATCAAATATTTGGACAGTTTTATAGTGTTTTTGACTTCAATAATAATTTGGCTGTTTTTAGGTACAGCTCTTGTATGGTTGCTTGTGTTTAGACAGCACTGAGCATGTGACAACTTTGGTATTAAAAAAAGCATTATGCAGGCATTAGATCAGCCCTAATATCAAGCATTTTTAAACAATACCCAGCCCTACCACTGAAGGTATGGAGATGAGTGTCTCTGCTTCCTCTTTAAAAAGGAGGTTTTACAAATGTGTTGTTTTTCTGCTATTTGAGACTGAGACTAAACAGCCAGCGCAGCTGCCTTTGAGTTGGTACTTCTTGATATACAATGACCTGAATGAAGAAATCTTCACACTTAAGGCAACTATCTAAATGAAATGAAGCCAGCAGACAGGTGCGGGACCATCTACTGTGTGAGGAGTGATTTTATGACCTGCTGCCAAATTCACTCCTGATTATTATAGAAAATGAAGCATCAAGTACAGGAAGCTGACACTGAGTATCTGTGCTCAAATAGTACCATAAAACTCAAGGTTCACTTAATAGCTATTTCTGGACCTTCCAACCATATCCCAAAGCCTGAACAGGAACAAACTCCCCGCCTTATAAAACCTGTTATCATGTGACAGGTGTTCTGTGGATAGGTGACATATAAGCAAGTTCCATTATTAAAGAAGACAAAAGCTGCCCAAAAGAGCTAGTAAGTGAACCTTGAGTTAGAATATTTTTTACAGTACATTAAAAATGTATGCTGTATTTTATTCAGGCAACATTCTGGTTCAAGGTTCTTGTCAAATGTTAAAAGTTGTCTAAATAGAAACAGCTATACAAGTTTGGCTTTTTTTGTAAATGAAAATTTTTTTTTTTTTAGAAAATCAGGTGCGATATCAGAGCTAGAGTTCAAAAATTTCCAACATCGATTTTCCAATGAAAAACAACCCAGCTCTATTCCAAAGTTTTAAAATCCTGTCTAATAAACCACTATGCGCAAGTGTCTTGTCATCAGACAAGCCTTAGAACTCATGCATCTTTAACACAAACTGGACTTCCTTGATTGCATTTCATCTTCTCACCCGGCACCTGCAGCAAAATGCCCCCTGTCACATTTTGAATGCTGTTTTCATTCTGAACACCAGCCGAGAGAAGTATACCACCAAACAAGAAAACAGGCCCAGAACTGCAACAGTCCATCAAGTAAAATGTCTTTTTAACAGTGTTGAAGTTGGAGTCCTCCTTTAAACCCCAGAGCGATGCTCGCCGCACACATACACTGCGCTGGGCTGTATGCGCCTCTTGGTGTTACCTGGCAGCTGAGGAAGAAACTTGAAATACTTGGGCATCAGATCAAGGCAGGCATCGCGGAACTTCTTGATCCGCCAGTAGTAAATGAGAGGGTTAAGGGCCGACTTGAGGTAGCACAACCACAGGACCCAGGTGCTGATTTGAAAAAAGCTGTCTTTGTGGTAGAAGCCATCACTGAAGGTAGCTACAAGAGTGTAGGAAGTGAAGGGTGCCCAGCACACCGTAAACACAGAGAAGAGGATGAGGATGGTGGTGAAGGCACGGGTCTTGAAGCTCATGTCTATGTTCATTTGGAAGGGCCTCTGGAGGCTCAGCAGGCCCAGTTTGCTGGCCTGGCTCAGACAGATGCTGTCAGGGTGGCTGTGGATGCGGATGGCGTTGTGGCGGATGGTGTTCAGGATCCCCATAAATGTGTACAGCATGACCATGAAAGGCATGAAGAAGAAGACTAGCATTAGTATCAACACATAGGCGTGGTAACCAGGCTCAGTGCTGTAGCCAAATACACACTGAGGGGCCCTGGGAGGGATCTGTAGGGGAGGGGAACCAACAGCCAGCGGGAAAGAGAAAATGAAAGACAGTCCCCATGTGACCACTATGAGCAGTTTAGCTCTCTGTGGGCTCAGCTTGTCTTGCTTCTGGACAATAATAAGAAAACGATCGATGCTTATTATAAGCAGTATAGCCACGCCCTCCATCACAAAAAACCAAAAGAGCATGGCCGACACTCGACAGAAAACCTCTCCAAAAATCCACTGGGTGGTCACGACGGTAACCAGAGCGAAGGGCATGTTCAGGATGGCCAGCATCATGTCTGCAAACGCCAAGCTTGCCAAGAGGATGTTGATAGCCGAGCGCATGGCAGATCTCTGGTACACCATCAGGCACACCACCACGTTTCCCAACAGAGCCAAAAGCAGGATGGCGACCATGATGAAGCAAAAGAAGACCTGCAGAGGTAGGCCAATGCCCTGCAGGCTCTTCACAGCCTCCACCGTCGGCGTGACCGGCTCCGGGGGCGACTGGGAGCCCAGGGAAACGTTTGCCATGGAGATGTTTGCCATCGACGGCCTCTTGGAAACACTCAGCAGCCCCGTAACGAGGCAGCAGAGACTGGCGTTAATGTCCCCTGCCTCTGGAAGGGGAACAGTAGTGGAGTGAACCATTCTTCCCCGGGGTGAACAGGCATCATTGCTGGTGAGCTCACGCTAAACATGGTGATGTAGATGCATCAGCTCAACGCGACATGGCGGCGTCTTCATGGCTGCAAGACCCAAAGAAATACACAAAAATATAGTGAATTCCAAGTGAATCAAAAAGCGGATGTGATACGAGATTAAACTGGCATCATTCCCACCCAAATTCCCCTGGAGTTGAAATGACCCTGAGCCTGTAATCCCTGCATCTCCACAATCAATCAGCACCGCTATGATCTGACCTGCAGAATCTACCAGAATAAGACACATAATTAGTACTGACAAAAAAGAAAAGTGTTTAAATTTGCATTGCAGCCCTTTCCATTTGATTTACATGCAAACTACTTCCCTTCAACAGAAGCTAATCACAATTTGTTCAATTTACAGCTACAAATTTGTCTGCATTAAAGCGTGACTGATTATGATTACAGTGTTATGATTCAAATTAACCGTGGAACCTGCACACTAAAGTCTTCCCTCGGCTTTGTTACTTTTCTACAACTCAGTACATCAGATAATGAGGGCAGGCTGAATGAGTTTGACGACCTAAAGGAAGTTAATCTGCATTTGTTTCTGCTGCCGCACCACCAGAGTGCAGAGCAGCTTTTTCCCCTCAAGCTATCAGACTTCTAAACTAAAAAAATAACTAAAATTTCTGTCTGCAACATTGCAGAAGGGAGTTACAAACTCAGTTTCACTTCAGAACCTGTTATGTGACAAATAAATATAACTTGTTTTTAAATAAATCTGAATGCTACATACACTCAAAGTCAAGAAGGCCAAGGGCACAGAACATGCTTATTCACTTTCTTTCTGACAATGAGATGGAAACATAGAGATCAATCTGCGTTCTTATGTCATTCTTTAAGTAGACCTGAAGTTAACACGTGGTTAGCCAAGCTTAGCATAAAAACCGGAAACGGGGTGAAACAGCTTGCCTGGCTCTTAGGGGTGGGAAACACCAGAGGCCCCACGATACGATATTTTCACAATACTTATATCACGATACGATATTATTGTGATTTTAAACATATAGCGATATATTGCAATTTATTACCTTTTTTCCAACTTCAAATTGTGTCCCCAAAAGAAAACTCTTTTTCCAGTGGACTGATTTATTATTATATATATACCAAAAAGTAAAATTCTCATGTACAATTGATATAATAAAAGACTGATACTTGACCTCTGTGTATCGATACAACATTGCCAGGGAAAATATTGCGATTCTATGCTGTCACCCCCCCCCCACCTGCTCTGTCCAAAGTTCAAATCTATACCTACCAAGTCCTCACTTCATCTCAGAAAGAAAGAGAATAGGTGTATTTCCCAAAATGCTTAAAAACAAAAGTAGAATATAAACGGAAATGCAACTGGAAAACATGTCTACAGAGAAATAAAAAGACCTCTTTTGTTTGCCCGAAACGTGATAACAAATCCTGTTAAAATGCTTTTCTTAACCGCTGCCAGAAACCAACAGCCAGTGTTCAACTGGGTACAAGTCAAACACTGCAATAAAAACCCTTATCACTTGTATAAACACTGGACACTGTTATTTCAGACTGCCTGGTATAATTTACAATGGCTAAGCAGCAAACGCCAAATAATACATGCGCTGTGGAAAAGAGTCCATTTGTAAGTACTTAAAATGATTAATTCCCATGTACGAAGCCTTTTCATTCATTTTGAGTCCTGTGTGGGTGTAGAAATCAAGCAAATAAAATGATCATGAGAACAGTGCGTGGAAGCCTCTCATGTAGCCATGTTAAAACAGAGGGTGGATGCTGCTTTGATACCTGGGTATGCAGCCATTTAACAGATAGTATTATCACATGTCACCAAGAACGTCAAGAGAGAAAATGCTGCTGTAGGGGATAACAGGCTGGCAACAGAAAAGCAGGGAAGACTTTGCTTTATTCATGGTGATGACAAGCATACTGCCTGCTGCAATTACCCACTGCTCCTTCACAACGAAGACCTGGTGAAAAAGAGCAAATAAGAAACTGGATTTAGCCTACTTCCTGCTTCACCCACCCCCCCTTCCGTCTTCAGCACAAGCCTGTGGATCACAATACTGAACTGTGCAGCAGTCTACCTCTGCAGGGAAGGTAATGACACATCTCTTTCCCTTCATTTAGGGGCAGAGTGACCTAAAATGTTAAAATAGCCACTTCAGCCTCCAAGCAATCAAGTAAACCTGCAGTAAAAATGAATGATCGGGTACTTAGCATTCTAAAGGACTGGCAATGGTTCAAATACTGTTTGTGGCAACGCAATTATGCAACATGGAACTGCAGGGAGAATAATAGTAGGAGAGCTTTTCAGCCACATCTTATAACCTTGAATCACTAAGAGACAAAGGGTATAGTGGAGCCCTGCCTAGGAAGTCCGTGGTGGTAAGATTTACTAGTGTGTGGCAACAACAACCTGTCGGAGTACCTTATTCATGGCAGGTGGCATTATTCAACACTGATGATGTGTCTTTGTGAGAAATACCTGTCTCTATCTAAATGACCTGATGTCTCAACATTAACCAGTGTTACATTTGATGGAAACGAATACTTACAGCAGATTCTATAATACAGTATCAGTGGAAAGAATGCATTTGTCAAATCTAATCCACTGAAGATTAAATCTGCTGTAACACATTTACAGGCGGGGACTGAGGTTAGTCTCAGGCTACAGACATGGAAGCAAAGAAAGGTCATAATAAATTTCAAAATTTATTAACAACTGAATACCTAATTGTGAATGTCCCTTTTTATTCAAAATTCAAACTACAGAGCGAAAAGCAAAATTAAAAAGTTATCAGTACAAAGGACAAGCACATCATCTCTGGATGATGAAGACTCGACTTGGCAAGCCAGCTATTAGTAGCTAGCGTAATGTTAAAAGCCACGTTACATCAAGTTATTTGCACTAACATCGTCTATACAGTTTTCTTGATCAATGGATTGTTAATGGCGTTGTCAGTAGCAAATAACTGTTACACAATAATCCTGTTCACATTCCAAACATGTCCTAGCTTTACAATCTTAAACACTGCTCGTTCATGGTGGCGTTCAGGCTGGAGAATGTGCTGCTGTTGAGTACACAAGTTTAGACAACAGTGCACAATTTGATACGTTCTAAATCACAAAAAGTTCTACAGCTGCCGTCTGCGTGCTTCTATAGTTGTGTGGACCCTCAATGACATAATGCGTGCTGTTGGTTACACCAGGGGGAAGGTTCATTAAAAGACGTATTTTTGAATGAAAATTCACCTGTATTCTCTTTATTGTTAGCTAGCACACGCCTAAAACAACCTCAAGCTAACTTTAAAAGCTGAAAGTTAAATAAGAGCCACTCTGTGATTCATAATCTGAATAGTCGCTTATTTGTTTCAGTAATCAACAGATTATTCAGCCATGAAAATTGTGGTAGTTGCATCCCAAGCTCACACAATGCCGGTTAAGTCTATCAGCACCTAGGGCTGAACAATAAATCAAACTTTTATCGAAATCGCAGCCTGGCCTACTGCAATTTTCAAATAGCAGGAGATGCAATATTTGTTAAAGTTGTCAAAATACCATTTTTTATTAAATATTATCGTATTGCAGAGATGTCCTGGCCTATACAATATTGTAGAGACTTAAGAAAACATCTTTGTTTGGTACAGATCCCTACAAAAGTCACACTGTAATTCATTTCAATATGTTTTTCAATGAAAATGAGAATAATGTTAAAATAATCATTCCCTCTAGTATTGCAAATCATATTGCAATTACAATATCAGTCAAAATATTCACAATTGGATCTTTTTTTCAGAATTGTTTAGCAGTATCATTCACTATTAATTCTTTGAAAAAGTGCAATCACAACTTAATAATTACTTTCTATTCTAATTTATAGTGTTGGAATATTTACATTTTGCAAAATGCTGTTGATCCAGGTATGACTAAGCTTATTTGAGAAACGCGATAAATATATTTTCTTAAATACTCAACCCTTAAATGTATTAAAAATTTAATCCTTTTCAAATCAAATAAAATTATGTTTTTGAAATTGCAAAATGTACCTTCAGGAAATTTCAAAGAGGGGAATTCAAAGCACATCGGAAAGTTGGTTTTCACAGTAGAACCTATCAATACTATAAATTCAGTGATATTTAACCTCTGGTATTCAGTAGTGATTAAATTCCACATTTAGATTCAGTTGCTTCGAAGGTGTAAGGATTAAAGGTTGTATTTTCTTGAATAATAGACATTTCATTCTCCAAATAGGAACTTATTTCATTTGTGCTGGTACCTAGTTTTTGTTCACTTTCTATATTAAGTTTGGTATGTGTGTTTATAAATAGAATATATTGCTAAATCAGTGCAGCTTTCTGACCATAAAAATCTTCTAATAAGCTAGCTGGTTGCCATATGTCAGACACCTGACGGTGGTGTCACTGGAAGAGAGATTCACACTGAAATCCATTCAGAAGATCCGAGTATTTAAAACTACTGGCGGGTAGGCGAGCTCAGAGGCGCCCTGAAGACTGACCCAAATGTTAGGAATACCAATGCCAAATAAATCACACCTGGTTCCGACCAGACTTTCACTTCGTCGACCTCAAATAAGAGCAATTCAGGCCAACCCTGCGGCTCACTGCTCGCCATTTAGTGGTCTACGACAGTGTGGTAGCTTATTTGGTCTCAGTAATGTGGTACCGCCTCGACTGCTGCGTTGTTCTGCCACCAAAATGGTTGAGACAACAAACTGAGTGATTTGCGAGGAGTCCTCGGAGAGTTCCATCTCTGTGGACGACAGCAGTGGGTGTTCATAACAGAGAGGCTACGTCTATGTCCTAATTTCCTTATTTAGCCAACACATATGAGAAATAATGTTGTAATATTGTTGTTGACCGACCCTGTTCGGGTTCCATTGATATTACCTGCTTCATTCTCCCATGTTGGAGATCAGGAGCGGGTGAAGCGCTGGAGCTCAGTCCCCCAGATGGAGCATCTCGCCGCCCACAATGCTCTCCTCCTCCTCCTCCTCCTCGTTGTAGTCAAAACAGTTCTTCAAGCAAATAAGTAGGCCGGTGGTGCTTTTTCACAACGTAGGCCCTGGAGCGGTGTAAATTTAAATCAACAGTGCGGGAGCCGGCGACGCCACTAACGTTACTTAACTTACACGACTGGAGCCGTAGGTGAAGTAAAATCCGCATCTGGTTAGTCTCGCTTTGTTTCCCGAGCAGCACGAGAGAGACAGCGCTGCTCCTCCGCGTTTTTATGGAGAGAGTAAATCTGAAGCTTTGTGTTTTCCAGCCTTCTTTTACACCATTTTCCTTCACACAGCTGTAAGCGGCACATCCTCCAGCACCAAATGTATCCGGCTGTGTACTGTTTGTACTGCAAATGATCACTAACTACACTCGCTGTGGGCGGAAAGAACACGAGAGTAAACAAATACCACTTCCTGTGTGGACTTTCAAAATAAATGCCTTTGAGGCGGGGGTGAAGTGTAGAACCCAAAGAAGTGCATTTGTGTGGAAGATTTCTCTTTCAGAAATACATATTGGAAATTTCTGCAATGCACATTTTTTAAATGTTTAAACACTCATGTACTAGGGGAGACAACAGGGCAGTAGCTACAGAGGACACAGATAATATCCCGGGTATTACTCTTGGAAACTTGGGGCGGCTTTTATACACGGATAGCAATTAACATTCTATAGTTATACAGGTTGGACTTTTGATGGCTGAATATGATATTTTTAAGACTAAATTTGACTGTTTTTTAGAATCCCCCCCCCCCCCCCCCCAGGTCGAAAAGAAGTGCTCTTAAAGGCATTGAAAATATACTAGAAATTCACATAGTATGCTTATAGTACATTCATACTTCTAACATGCTTACTACAAGTGTATTAAAGATATATTCCCTTGAGCTTTAACATACTTCTCAAAAGTATACTTTGAGTAAATTGGTAATGAATAAATGCTTAATTAAACTTTTAATGAATATGCTTAAATAGAAGCATATTTTGCTTTTAACATGTAAGTCTATTTATCAAAAATAGATTTGTACCACTCTAAATATTATTTAGCTTTACTTTGTGGAAGTATATTGTTAAACAATTAAACTTTTAGTGGGTTAAAAATATATTCATGCCAATTATGCTTCATTGTGTACTGCAATGTATTTAAAATATTTATGGAATTGCCAAATGTTTTATGATTTTTAAAATATATTTTTACAATATTTTAATATATTTTTTAAAAGCATAGTATTTCTTATATAGCTTACACTTTTTTATTTTCATCTCTTTTTTTATTAAAATTTTATTCAAGCAGGTAAATAGCCAAGAAGGCCAAGAAGGTAGCAGCACATGTCTTTAACGTAACAAACAAACAAACAACAATGTATAGTAATGAGCATACTTTAAATCATAATAATAATAATAATAATAATCCTTATTTGTAGAGCACTTTTCAAAAACAAGTTACAAAGTGCTTTAACAAGTGTAAAGAATAATACAAAAAAACAAGATAAGAGCATTAAAAATTAATATAAAATTAGTAAATACAATAAAATAAAAGGGATAAAATAAAGTCAAATAAGATCGGGAAAGGCTCTCCTATAAAAGTATGTTTTAAGAAGGGACTTAAAAGAGTTCACTGACTCAGCCGACCTGATTTCCTCGGGCAGGCTGTTCCAGAGCCTCGGGGCCCTGACAGCAAACGCTCTGTTCCCTTTAGTTTTCAGTCGAGGGACTAAAAGGTCAGAAATATAACAAGGCGAGAGGCCATGAAGAGCTTTAAAAGTGATCAATAGAATTTTAAAGTCAATTCTAAAACATACTGGGAGCCAGTGTAATGAAGCTAAAATAGGAGTAATGTGGTCATATTTCTTTGTTCTGGTGAAAAGCCTGGCAGCTGAGTTCTGGACAGTCTGGAGTCGATCAGTAGATTTTTGGGTTAAACAGGTGAAAAGGCTGTTGCAATAATCCAGGCGTGATGAGATGTAGGCGTGTAAAATGGTCTCGGTGTCCTTAAAAGTTAACATAGATCGAATTTTTGCTATATTTCTAAGTTGATAAAAACATGATTGAACAAGCTTTGTGGTGTGCTGCTCGAAATTTAAATTACTATCAAACCAAACACCAAGGTTCTTTGCCACAGGCTTAATGTGATTTACTAGGGAACCAGCAGATGGCAGTATTTGATTTGCCATCTGCTGGGACCCGATGACCAGGATTTCTGTTTTGTCTGAGTTCAGCTGGAGGAAATTATTTGACATCCATTTTTTAACTTCACAAAGGCAGTTGTTAAGTGAACTCAGCATTCCAGGGTCTGTGGATCTGACGGGCAAGTATATTTATGTGTCATCAGCATAAATATGAAAAGAAATGCCATGTTTATGGATAATATGTCCAAGGGGAAGCAGATACAAGGAAAACAAAATGGGTCCTAAGACCGACCCCTGAGGCACACCATATTTAACTGGACAGAACAAAGAGACAGTTGTTTACAGACACGCAAAACTTCCTATTTGACAGGTAGGATGAAAACCATTCTAGGGCAGTACCAGAGATCCCCACCCAGTGCCTCAGTCTGTCTAACATGATGTTGTGATCAATGGTGTCAAAAGCAGCGCTAAGGTCCAGGAGTACAAGGACTGAGCACATGCCTTCATCAGCAGACATTAAAAGGTCATTGGTGACTTTAAGCAGGGCAGTCTCAGTGCTGTGGTACTTCCTGAAACCAGACTGAAACTTTTAAAATATTTGTTATTTTCCAGAACAGTGAGCAGCTGTTTGGACACAATTCTTTCTAGAATCTTTGCAATAAAAGGCAGTTTTGAAATTGGTCTAAAATTATGTGGGAGGGAGGGATCTAAACCAGGTTTCTTTAAAAGTGGGTTCACGCAAGCCGTTTTAAAATAATCAGGGACACAACCAGTAGATAGGGAGCTGTTGAAAACAGAGATCAAATGGGGCCCAATAGAATCCATTACTTTCAGTAAAAACTTTGTAGGTATTACATCAAGTGGGCTGGAGGACACTCTCATTAGTGATACTGTTTTTAAAAGCTCAGACAAGTCGATGGGATAAAACTGGTTAAAACTCTCTTGTTGCTGGTGAGGAACCTCTGAGTAAGAGGCCGCGGGGGTAATAGAGGCTCTGATTGACACCACCTTATTGGTAAAATAAGATAAAAACAATTCACAGTCATCATTACTTCCAGCTGAGGCACAAGGAGGGGTTGGGTTTACCAGCTGATCCACAGTCTTAAACAGAAACCTAGGATTGTCTTTATGTGTAGTAATGAGTTCAGAAAAATAGTGTGTTCTCGCATCCTTAACCATGTTATTGTAGTTAATTAATAAATCCTTCAGACTGAGGTAATGGACTTGGAGACTGGATTTTTTCCATCTGCGCTCTGCTTTCCTGCATTCCCTTTTTAGGCTGCGAATGCTGTCATTTATCCAGGGTTGCTTACTAGCTTTAGACGTAGGCCTAACCTTTAGAGGAGCAGTAATATTTAGTGACGACAAGCAGATATGATTGAAGTGATCGACCAGATTGTTGGTGTTGGAATCAGACAGGTGTTGGCTTTGGCTCTGAAAGAATGCACAAACCTTTGAGCACTTAGGCTCAGTGTATGAATGTGAATGACTGGTGAATGCAGATGTAGTGTAAAAGCGCTTTGAGTGGTCAAAAAGACTAGAAAGGCGCTATACAAGTATGGAGCATTTACAAAACTTTGAAACACTTTGTACATTAAAGATGCGAGAACACACGGAGCTCGGTGAGGCAGCATGAGTAACAGGCGAATCGCAGCTAAAAACAATACATCTGTGGTCAGATATGGTCATGTCCACTAATTCCACAGAGGAAATGCTGACACCCAGGGTAAAAACCAAGTCCAGTGTATGACCACGGTTATGTGTTTGCCCTTTGACATGTTGTTTGAAGTTAAAAGAAGTGGCCATATTTAAAAAGTCAGTTGCATTAACATTGGTGGGGTCATCAACATGAATATTAAAATCGCCACAAAGAACAACTCTGTCATAATTTAAAACCAGAGTAGATAAAAATCCTCCAGCGTACTTGATGACATTTAAAATTTTTCCTATACACGCTCACTAGCCCACCACCACGACCACTGACCCTCGTTTGACTAAAACAATCATATTGAGGCGGACACAGTTCAGCTAGCTGGCTATAGTCATTCATTTGCAACCATGATTCAGTTAAAAACATACAAGATTTGCAGACTAGATAAAAATCATTTAAGGTAAAAGTCTTACTTGACAGAGATCTCACCTTGAAGAGAGTCATTTTAAATGAGTTTGTTCTGGGTGCTGGAGTTGGTGACCTGGACCTGGAGTTTTTTTAAAATGTCAGCCGTGGTGGCACCGGGGAAGCAGCGAGTGGTAGCGTTAAAGAAACGGATGTTTCTGGTTATGGAGTCACCAATTATTAGTGTGGTTGGGGAGAAAAGGGGACGAGGAGATGCCGGTTGTGTGGTTCCAGAGCAGGACTGAGCAGAATCTGCTTCAACACTGCGTGCGGACTGAGGATGGAGTTTGTGAGCTGCCGAGTGTTGTGTTGGAGTAGCAGTAACAGACCTGAGAGAAGAGCTACCCGACGGTGCAGGGTAGAGACGGCCTCCGGAGCGTCTGAGCACAGCCTCCTTCAGGATCTTACGTTGGGAAGCGGAGGTTTTTGACGGGAATACGGCCACCGATCAGGCCCAGCAGCAGACCGGCGGCCCAGTGCAGGAGATGTAGCCGGTGGAGGAGATGCAACAGTGTCGGCAGGCGCTATCCGTCGAAAGAGATCCGCATCAGGGAGACTCGAAGCGGAGTGTCGTTAGACCCACCCAAACCCTACGCAGAGTCGCAGTCTAACACACTTCTCTGCTCCTCCATTTCAGGAGTTACTTAGTGAAAATCCTATAGTGACGGTGTCTGCCCCCCGACCATCGAAATTATTTAAAAAGGTAAACAGAAGAGGAGCTGTGCATAAAAACCTCATAAAAATTAAAACCACAAGAGCAATAGTGCAAACGAATAGGAGAGTTAAATGTGGACTCTTAAACATCAGATCTCTCTCTTCTAAAGGTGTACTAGTAAATGAACTAATATCAGATTATGATATTGATTTATTTGTCTTACTGAAACCTGGCTGGGTGATGGAGAATATGTTAGCCTAAATGAATCCACCCCTCCCAGTCATATTAATACTCACATTCCTCGAGGCACAGGCCGAGGAGGTGGAGTTGCAGCTATCTTCCACTCTAGCCTACTAATCAGCTCTAAACCTAAACTAAACTATAACTCATTTGAAAGTCTTGTTCTTGGTCTTTCGCACCCAAGTTGGAAATCACTGCAACCAATTCTCTTCGTTATAGAGTACCGAGCACCTGGCCCGTATTCTGAATTCTTATCTGAATT